ACTCTACTTCTCTAATATCTTACGCTTCGGTAGCAGACGTACTAAGACCCCGCCGAACTTAACACTAACTATCATAGGCGGTGAGAGTGTATAGGTGCTAAAGAATTATTTATATGGGCGGCAGGATATAAGGCGACTCTTCTTAATTGGCTATGGTAGCCTGCGTGGTGGCTGCTCGGCTAGGCTATAAACGATAATTATAGGTGGGCCGCTATAGCTTCGTTAGCCTTAATGGTTTCGCTATCTCGTCCTAAATCGTATAGGGTAGGGCACTTAAAGGAACGACGCGCTAGATATAGGCAGGGTAAATTAAGTCGGCTAAATAGCCCTGCTAGTTAAGATATATGCAGTAACTCACGTCTATTAGATTATAAGACTATAGCGCAGGAATAGGTATTTATAAGTGTATAATATAACGAAGGAAGTATCCTATTACTTATACGCGACCGTAATTAGAAAGGAAAACGAAAATATTATCCTTTTATAGCCGCTAACGGGGATATAGTCTTATAAAGTAAGGTTTATTAATGCCTACCACTAATTAGACGTCGGGATACTAAAATCGTGTATAAACGAGGTAGTATACTCCTAACTATAACCGCCCCACTTCGTCCTGCATCTAGCGAGCTACCCCTAGCCTCTTAACTCCCTAACCTTCCCTTATATCCCTAACGTGTCCTTATTTCCCTTAACCTCCACCTATATTTCTCTAGTATCCCCCTTAGGCTTCTATATCGCTATACCCTACTCTAGTCTTAACGTTTCTATTATAATATCACCAGTATTACGTCGTATCTACGCGATCGCGGAAGAGCTAAATCAGCGTCGGATTATTCTGACCGTACGTCGAAGAGATTTAGAAGAACGCCTGGTTATAGCCTTTAAGCCACTAGGCCGCTAACCACGCCGCGATATACCCCGTCCAAAGCAAGATATTAAGCGGCGCTCTACACAGAGGAAGGCCTAAAGAGTGTATTTAGAGGTTCTCGATAAGGATCTTTATATTTTCCTCCCTTTGATCCTCGCTATATCGCTAAGAGCTTACGGGTCCTTCGATCTCTATGGCTTTCGTCAGTATCGCTAAAAACTACACAGAACCCTCCTAAGCCATAGTGCTAGATTAATACTCGAAGAGATAGCAATAAGACTAGATATTAAGCAAAACCCTGACTTTAAAAGACTGATAGCGTCGCTATTTTCAGAAGGTTATACTACTTTTCTTTATTCACCAGGGTAAAGTTAATAGTCAGGAAAGTTTCTTAACGGACACCCGAACCGATTACTATAGCGGATAACGACTACTAGGTATATCGCGTAGCCGACTTGAATACCGTTTATAATATCTTCGGTAATCAAATATATAATAAGATTAAAATTAGGCTAAGACGCATTTATAAGAAAGCGATAAGTCTAACTTACCAGATAATAAAATTATAAGGATAAACTTCCCTAAAGAGGGTTTTTAGGATACCTTAGTCTGGTTAGACGTAGGATTCGCCACCGAAATCGCCCAGATCTTATTTCCGTAGTTAAAGCTCCCGCTTCTGTTAAGCGAATCTTTAGACGACTATCTAGCACGGGTATCGGATTCTTTAACGGTTAATAGCAGTTAGGAAAGCGAAATAAGCGAGACGAGACTAGAAGAAGACTATGTATTTTTCTCTCTTATAGGAGCGATTATCTCGGCTCTTATCTTGATCTTTAACCCCTGCGTTTGCGATAGGATCGAAAAGAGCTATCTACGATTATAGGAAAAAGAATATATGCTTTAAGAAATAACGGATTATATTATGATAAAAATATATCGTAAGTAACCTCACCACGGGACGATATATTTACGTGTTAGATTTAGTGTATAGTTTAATATAACGAATAGCTTATATACCGGGTAGGTATCTCTTACTAGGATTATCCCGACCTTAACTTCCCTCTAACGATATATATACCTACTCGCGCGGGAATATCTATTTCCCTATTTCTCTGTATAGACTAAATTATCTCGCCGTTTTCGTTTTAAAAGGCAATATTCTCGTATTTAAAGAAGCAGAACTTCCTCTTATAATTTTCCGCTATAATATAATTAATAGCATACTTCTTATAATCCTGGAAGAACTCCGGCGACCGTGTAAGGTATTTCTATCAGTCACTATAAGACTAATTAGAATCAGATTATATACGAAATAAGTTTAATAGGCCTTACTAGAATTTCCGCTATTACTACTATCGGATTTTTTATCTCTTATTCGGTTATTATAGTAAAGACTATAGTAATTCGACACCTCGTACGCACTGGAATTCTGGCTTAAGTGACACTTCGGAGATTTATAATTCGGAGGTTTAGCGAACGGTATCTATCCTACGTTAGCTAGTAATAAATTTCGGGAGTAGAGGGGATACTACTATAACTCTTATAAATATCGTTACGTTAGGAGTTTATTCGAGGGCTTCGTAAAGTGGAATAAAGAATGACTATATTATAAGTGGTAACCGTTAGGCTCTGAGGTAATATCCTAACCGTGGCTGACTAGCTATAAACTAAGCTATATAAGCTATATCAAGACGTTTACGGTATATACTTGTTAGAGTATACCACGAGACACCTCCACGGTGTAATTTCGTGAGTCATAAGACCTAGAGTCCTCTAGAGTCTCCCTCCTTCCTGCTCCCATAATATCCCATAATATCCCACAATATCCTTCAATATTCCACAACATCCGAAAATATCCGACAATATCCTACAATATCCATCAACATCCACAACGTCCACAACATCCACAACGTCCACAACATCCACAACGTCCACAACATCCACAACGTCCACAAC